GGTGGGTTGGGGACAGGGGCTGGGGAGATGGCAGGTGGCCCTGGGCTCTGTCCTGACTGCTGCATGGCAGCCTGTAACCCTGCTCCCCTTTGCCTCCCCTGCCCAGGGCTCTTCTGGGGGCCCAGCACCCCCCCATGCCTGCCGGGTCACACCTGGACACCCAGTGCCAGGCTGCCCGGGGGACCACCATCCCAGAGATGGAGAAAGTGTCCCACAGCACCCAGAGCATCATCACACTGATGAATCCAAGGCTTCATGGCATAACGACAAGCATCCCTGCTCTGCACGCTCTGTCCTGGGGCACCCAGACCCCCATCCCGCGGATGAAGTCACGGTCCCGTGGTGTGAAGGCCACCATCCCAGGGATGAAGGCAATGTCCCGTGGCACCCAGACCATTGTCCCAGGGACAAAGAGACAGTCCTGTGGCAGAAGGACCACCATTCCAGGGGTGCAGACAGTGTCCTGTGGCACCCAGACCACAACCCCATGGGTACAGACAGTGTCCCGTGGCACCCAGGCCACCATCCCAGGGATGGAGACAGGGTCCCCTGGCATGAAGATCAGCACCCCATGTGCACAGCTCCAGGGAAGAGCTGTGAAGGGCGGTCACAGGGACGGCAGAGCACCACCTTGCTACATCACAGCCCTCAGTTCTGCTTCCCCCTGGCCCTGGAGGGGTGTGGAGAGAGGGAGGGCAGGGGCAGGGGGAAGGTCCAGGGGCGTCTGCGCAAGAAGCCAGGCTCAACTGGGGAAGCCAGGGGAGAGGCAGCTTTGCTGCAGGTGCTCAGGACCACAGCTCGAGTCATCCTCGGCCTTTGCTTCAAACCTCCCCCGGACTAGGAGCCAAAAGCAGCTGGCTAAGCTGAAACCAGGAGGTAGATGCTCACATCTCCAAATCCCTAGCTGCTTCAGGAAAACTGCCCTGGCAGTTTTCATCTACCACTTTGGCAGGGCTTCAGGGGTACCACAGAAGAATGCACTGTTACATCCCATCAAGATTCACAGAACACACTGTGGCAACCTGTCTGAACCTGGATTTAACATGACTGATGCCCCTCAAGATTCTCTTCTAACAAGAAGTGCTTTGTAAGAAGCTAAACGGGGGATCGTATGGAGAAGAGTCTAATGGAAATTCCTTCAGAACACAGATGTTAGGAGAGAGCAAGACAGTGATAGAGCTCATGGGTTTACAAAGCAGACAGAGCTGGCAAGGCTTGCAATAGGAAGCTGCACATAACACGTTGGGAATGAGGAAATCAACACGCTGCCTACTGGAAACCAACACACGTTTTCACACAGCACGCAAATACCCAGGTGAATTTTTTGCGAGAAAAGGGGCCGGACAGACAAAATTGGTCCTAAGGTCCCAACTGCGCTTAGCTCTAAAAGTCAGGGGGATTCTTTCCATTATCCATTCTTGAACTGCTTTCCTTGCCACACCCCCTTTTTTGTTGCATCCTGCTTTCTCTTTTGACTGCCATTGGGCCTAGATTCTTCCTCCTTCGTGTCAGGTGGCATTGCTTCCCTAGGAAGAATATTAGGACAAGAGTTTTTCCTGGGAGGGAGAATCCAAAACTAAGCAGAGTGCCCAGTAACTTAATAGAAAAACTGCACTGGGCAAGGCCCCCAGGAACCTCCTGCAGCTGCTGCAACTCTAAGCTGTGCCTGGGGCCCTCCCGAGATCCTCTCCCAGCCACACGGTGCTGGGAGCCTCTGCCTGTTCTCCTCACTCCAGGAAGGCCAGAGCTGGGCCTCCTGCCCTGCCTGGCCCTGGCAGC